TTTTCTTGGCCAATTATGCATGCTTAAATATGGTAATCTGAACAACTAATCTGAAGACAACAAAATGCAATATAACAACCATTGTTGAATCCCTACCATCTTGTTTAGTGAAGCTCTGTATCATTTCTAACCTTTTAAAATTACTTTTTATTCTCTTTAATTGTTTGATCAATCTTGCATTCTTACATCCAGTAATCTGAGCAACTTCATTGAAGATGACTATATGTAATATAACAACCAGTGTTAATTCCTGTCATGTTTTGAAATCCTGTATTGCTTTTATTGTTTTTGTGTTGTTTTGTTTTGTCTTTGTTGTTATTTTATTGTTTTTTTCTCTTTAAAATAAAAGAAAGAAATAATCAATGGAACTTTGCAAGAAAATTTTGAAGAACTGTAGAACATGGAATCTCTGGATTTAAATTACTCCCTGAATCATGTAATTACAGTTACCTCTTATAAACCCTTCTTCAAGAAACTTCTAAAGGGTATGTAGTGCTGAAGTGAGGAAGCAGGCGGAGACGATGAAGATGAAGATTGGAGGAGATGAAGGCTAGAACGCAGGGGAGAGGCAAAGGAGGCTGGGGTGGTAGTGAAGGTGGAGTCTAGGCTCTCAGCCGTGCACTAAGAAGAGAGCGCATCCGGTCCAGACTGAGGTGGCCAGACGGTGCCAGCGGACTACGCGTGGGGCTGGATAGGATACCTGATAGGAATGAATGTGTTGGGAAAAGAAACTGACAACTGGGGTTTGTGATTGAGTAAGAATCTTAGCAAATGAGAAAAAAAAGGCAATTATGAACTCCAGGAAAAACAGAAATTTACACATGAGAGAAAGATTTGTCATAATTTACTACGTAGCCCAGCTTTACTACATGGACATACTAAAATCAACAGTGAGGAGTGATCTAATAAAAATGTATAATATACCTGTAATTACAATGTTATAATACAACATCAAGCAGATGGTGGGGTGAATAAACAGCAGGGGAGAAGGGTGTAGATAAAAGCAAAACAAGTATATTTTTCATTATATGGGGTTCTCTAGATTTTGCCTAAAACTGAAAAATCAAACAGTAGCAAAATAAATGTATTATGGAGAAATACGGAAGTAATTACCAGAAGTATCAGTTAAATGTGTTCAAATCAGTAGTCTCTGAAGAAGGAAAAAGACTGGACAATACTATTTATCTTATAATCTTCTAATACCAAAAACTTTGAAACTGACTTAAATATCTACCAAGAGGGCACAGGTTAAATGAATTCTAATACCATATAACTCAGTGACTTTTAAAACTATGTCTATGTGTAGTGTATATTCTTAGAAAATAAAATATTTTTAAAATACCATTATATACCCACAAATAACAGTGGGAAAAGTGTGTTAAAAAGAACAGGTATAATAGATGTTTATGTGGCATGTTAACACATACCACACAGTTTACCCAGGCGATTTGAGTACATTCACAGAGTTGTGCAGCCATCCCCACAATTTTAAAAGATTTCATGCTTTCCAGAAGAAACCTCCTACCTCTTTGCAGTTACCTCCCACTTACACCTAACCATCCTGGCCCTGGGCAGCCACTGCACTACCTTGTCTTTATGGCTATGCCTGTTTTGGAGAGTTCATAGAAGTGGAAACATACAGCATGTAGTCCTATGTCATTGTTTTTTTTCTTTTAGTATAATGTTTTCAAGTTCTGTCCATGTATCAGTAATTTGTTTCTTTTTATTGTAAAGTAATAGTCCATTGTAGGAACACCACATTTTATTTATCCATTCATCAGTCAATGGACATTTTAGTTGTTTCCATCTCTGATTATTAATAAGCAACTATAAACACTTCCCACACAAGTTGTTATATGCAAGTGTTTTCGTTTTTCTCGGTTATATACCTAAAGGTAGTATTTCTGGGTCCTGCAGTAACCTAAATTTTAAGTTTTTGAGGAACTACTGGACAGGTTTTTAATGTGATTACATCGTTTTATATTTCCTTTTTTTTTGTTTCACATTTCCAATAGCAGTGCATGATAATTACAATTTTTCTACATCCTCACCAACATTTTTTATTGTCTGACTTTTTGTGGTAGTCAGTTTTGATGTAACGTTATGTAACCTTTAAAAATTTAACAAATTAAATACAAATAAGACAGATTAGCAAGACCCTATCTTGGTAAGGGTTTGAAGAAACAAAACATTCTTATTGAGCTTAGTACAAATCTTATTGGCTTGGTACAAATTTCATAGAAGACAGGTAGAGGATGAATATCACATGTTCTAAATACTTGGGACTAGAAGCAGTATAGATTTTGGATTTTTTAAATTTTGGATATTTACATATACATAATCAAATGTGTTGGTTATGAAACCCAAGTCTGAACGCAAAAGTCATTTGTTTCATATGCACCTTATCAGATAGCCTGAAGTTAAATTTATACAGTGCTTCTAGTGTCCCTCCACTTTTACTGCAGTCCCCTACATCAGAGCAGGTGTAGAATTTTCCATCATTTTGGCACTCCTAAAGTTTCAGATTTTGGAGTATTTTGGATTTCAGAGTTTTGGGTTAAAAATGTTCAACCTATGTTTCAGAATGCGAAATGTACTTGATCTCTGACTAGATTTCCTATTTCTAGACATTTGATGTAAGGAGACAACCGTATCTTGGGAAAACGTGTGTCCTTATAGTGGAACTATTTATAATCTCATAATATCAGAAACTTTACAACTAATTTAAATGTCTACCAAGGGAACACAAATTAAATGAATTCTGAGGCACATATGGAATGTCTAGGCCATTATTACAAATAATAGTGTATTTTTATTGTTATGGGAAGCTACCTACCATGTACTGGTTGGGGTAAAAGCAGATTATTGAATACCTCCATGAGAAGAGTCCAATCATATACAATATTTTCATGCAAAGAAAGATTTTTTGGAATGATGTCCAAAATGTTAACAGTGATTATATTCCTGGGGTGGAATTTTAGGTAACTTTTTTACTTTGTTCTTTGTAGTTTTTGAATTTAATTTAGCTAAAAATCAGTTCCTGTAATTTTTAAAGAAAATTATAAAACTATTTGAAAAGACTATGCATTTTAGAAGTCCCATTTTTACACTTAATCAAGGCTTAAATTTTAGTTAAATACCCTTCCCCTATCATTATTTTTTTAAACCTTGAAGCCATCTACTCAAGGCATAAAGAAATTCATTCTTAAGGTGATTATATCCTCTTAGTGTAGAACACTGTCTTAGGCTCGTCCTTCAGGGAATTTTATTATGTACTTGAGTCTTTGTGTGGTGCTTTTTATGAGGAGGAAAGCTGGGTATTAAGACTTTGGGGTCATGCCAAAGCTCAAGGGTAGGTGCATATAAAAATGGTTCTCTGTCTTTTCTGGTTTGGGGGATAATTGTTTTGGGTTCACATATTCTTTATTCCACTCCTTTAACCCCCTTTGTAAGAGAATGACATCAACAACTTTCTTGGGGGTGGGGGGCTTATTCGTTAGCAACTGTACTAAAGGCATCACATGTATTTTACTCGTTTAACCTTCACAACCATCCTACAAAGTTGATACTACAATTACGATATTTTACAGATGAAGAGCCTAAGACACAGAGAGGTTAAATAACCTATCCAAGGTCTCTCAACTAGGAAATGGCAGAACAGGGACTGGAGCTCAGCAAGTCTGATTCCTAACACTCCACTTTCTCTCTCACTTTCCTCCCAAATATGATTCCAAACACTTGTTGCTAATTTTCCTTGTGCACAAGTTGTCATTTCTACCGGAAATGCCATGGAGACTGAGGTAGTGAGTCGCCCTTTCCAGAGCTCTCTGCAGCAAATGCTGTGTGGAGTCATCTGTTTGCTACCTTTATTTATCAGTTGAGTCTCTTAGGCTACTAACTGCATCCTTGACATCTTCTCTGAAGTGCTTGGATCTCATACTCTTCAAAGCTGGAGATTCATCTGGGGGAAAAAATTAAGACTTTTTTATACGTGTTTCAACTTTGTGCCAAGACCCATTGGCAGAGTGCTGAGTGCTGAGACAGACGTGGGCTATTCTTTCCTCTGACTGCGTGGAATCCTCAGCTCAGGCAGGACAGAACCCCTGTGGCCGGATCTTTTGAGCCTGATTAGTTGGGGTGGGCATAATTTTTAGTAGGTTATACCTTGTTCTGTCAGAGCAATACATGCTCAGTGTAAAAATTTTGGATAATATAAGAAAGAATACAGAAAAAATTAAAAGCATTTATAATCTTACCATGCTGTGATAACCACTAGTAACTGTAATTTCCAAACATATCTGACTTTGCTGTATGCAATCCATATCCATTCATGAAAACTAAGTCTTCTAAATAAATTTATAGGCAATAATTTTAGAAAAAGCCCAACTATGCCATTTAGTGTGTAGGATTATTGTTACAAGGTGTGCCAAAGTTGGTGAAATTTTGATTTCCTAATTTTATACTCCAGTTTGATTTTTTTAATTAAAGAATGGAAATACTTGTGGATATTTTAAAACATTAATATGAAAAGATACAAACAGATATAATGGCCTCAATGTTTTCATTTACCCCTGAAAGTGATTTTCCCATTTATTTATTTATTTATTTTTTGCTTAACAGCCTGTATGTAGTGTAGGCCTTCAATTTATCCTTAATAATTTTATGTGAACAGGTTAAGATCTACTTAAGATACTGTCAAAATGAAAGTTTTGATATTTATGACTTTGGTTGTTATTGTTGTTGCTATTTTGTTGTGATTGGGATTTAGGGAATTTTTATTTAGGATATTTTACTATTATCCTGGGGGAGAAAGCTTATAAATCTCACCGTTAAAATAACAATAACAACAAAAGAAATTCATATGGCATGACATATGACAAGCAATAACTCTGTTAAGTTTGATTGCAGTTGAAATAGCTTGTCTGAGCCTTATTTTTAAAAGCCATTTCGTGTCAGAGTGACTTCTATAATCCAAACATCTATCCTCTTGTGTTTTCTAGGCATCTGGCCGTCTGAAGAGGTTTTGGCTTACTACTGCCTCAAGCACAGTAATATATTCAGGTACAGAGCCGCACTTAAAAGAGATTTGTTTATCCCATCGTGGATATTGAATCAGCATATTAAAAATGCCCTTGTTTCCATTCTTCAAATTAAATTGTTAGAAAGAGGAAGAAAGGCAAAGAGTTCAGAGGAAACACATGTTGCTTCTGAAGAGAATTCTGCATTGCCTTTGGGTACTAATATTGCACAGCAAGCTTTTTGCTCTATGTCAAAGTCTTGATTTCCACTCAAGGCATTTTATTTCACTTTGATTTGGGGGAAACAAAAGTGAAGCTCCAATCAATCCTTGCTGATTGCAGAGGTCAAAAAAAAAAAAAAAAAGACACAAAATAAAGACCTCTTTAAACTTCTGCTGGGGAAGTCAGTACAGAATATTTGATAAATAAATACTTCATAGCTATTATTTAAAGGTTTTTAAAAAAGATATCATCTTTCCATGATTTTAAAGGTGTTTTATGTACTTGGTAGTATGTGTTTGTGAAATACAAATTATTATACAGTTTGTTGTAGAATTACATGCTGTAGAAATAGATGTTTCTGAGTGTTAGTATGAATTATGGCTCAACCCATGGATGGGATTAAGGAAAAGAAAAAAATTGCTTTTATTTTAAAAGTCTAAATTTGTTTAGTAGACCCGGAAAATACAGGTTGTTTATTTTAATTCTCATTATAAAAGTTATCCAATATATACTTCCTGTCCATTATGATTCCAGACAAGCCATTAGTGACCACGGTGTGTGTTTTAACCATATGTACTTACAAGATTGGGTCAATAATATGCATTTTTTTAAAGCTCTCTGGGTCCATATTTAGCAACCAGCCTATAATTGCTTTGAACAACTAAATACTCTTTAAGTGTGTTTCCAAATGTGAATGTCCCATCCTGGCTTCTTCTGCTCCCCTTCCCCGCCCACCCCACCCCTTTTAATTTTTGCTTTTTTTCTCCTCTTGAGGTAATAAACTTCCTGAATTGGGAAGAAGAAACAACCTCAAGAGTCTAAGCATATAAAATAAGAACAGGGCAGTTTTGAATTTGGGCTGCAGAGCTGCCCTGAAAGTCTGGCATTTGCTCATCTCGCTGTGCTTAAGCTTGACTGGAGCTCCAATCAGCGAGCAGTGGGCCAGGGCGAGAATGTCACACGTTGAGGGCTGATATTTAGGCACAAAGGGAAAGGTAAGTGCAGAATGGCACACTAGGCTGTCAGCTTTAACTCTGAGCCGCTTTACTTTCAAGCAGTGAAGCCAAAGCCCGGTCACTGCTCCAGCCTGGGTTTGCTGGCTTAACCATATTATGCCCCTGCATTGTTTACTTGTGGTGCTGTGTTGGGGTCACTTGTGATTTAAGTGCTAATTGCTAAATGCTCTTTGTGTAATTGTGCTTTATGGGGACGGTTCGACTTTCCAAAATGTTTCAGTTTGTTGTAGAATTTTTTTTAAATTCAGGATTGCGTTTATTTGTGTGTGTTGTGTGTGTGACTATAATATAGGTATATACACACCCGCATATATTCTTCGTTTACTTGTCTAACTGTTTTTGAAGGCATGAATGTGGATTAACAGTGTTATCCTTTCCTAACAATTATCTTTCGCTACTCTAGCTAGTTTAGTTCTAAAAGACAGCGCCATTGACAGGGGAAAAAAAAGAGAACCTTCTCAGATTTTTCAGCTCAGCGGTGGTAATGTTGCAGTGAACACTAATGAGGGGACCCCCACTGATTTGCCTGCTTTGTGACTTTTCTATTTCATAATTATTTTTAAAACGCAAAACGACATGAGGTAGCCTAGTCGTGTCTCCACAACTTCCTGGTAGCGTCGTTCTTACTGCAGATGGCAATTTGTTCTTGTAACATATATATCTCTCTGACCATTTTCATCTAATTTGTATGGGTTCTACCATTTCTTTTCTCTCTTTCAGGGACCTTGCTGTGTGTGAGCTAGGGGGTGGCATGACATGCTTGGCTGGGCTCATGGTAGGTCTTTTCTCAATTCCAATCCCATTCAGAGGGAAGAACAAAAGGAAAAATGTTCCAGGGCCTCCAACTGCTGGGTCAGAGAACCGTCAACAGCATCGGCTGCAGTCAAAGCTGCCGGGCCTTGAGAGACCTTCTAGATTGACTTACTTTCGGATCATATTGATTTTAGGGTTGCCTCGATGAGCAGAAACATTTTACCTCCGTGTGGTCAATATTGCTTGTTGTGACATTCCAGGCCTCGCAGTCTTTCTTTGCCATAGCGAAAGCATTTCTTTCTTTCTTTCTTTTTTTTCTTTTTCTCTTTCTCTTTTCTTTCCTTTCTTTCTTGCTTTTTTCCCTCAGATTATAGTCCCATTTGCTAAGATACAGGAATAGCCCGGCAAATCACAGTTGGAGCACCATGATATAGCTGCTAATGTTTTGCCTGCATTATTACACCAACAAACATGATCCAGAGCGCTCAGTAATTAGATTCTTTTGAATTAGATTGGCCATTCAGGAACGTCGTTCCCCATTCTCTGGGTTCTGAGTCATGTATTCAGGAGATATTATGTAGCAGCACAGTGCATTAGACAAGTTTTTATGTCTCTACAAATAAAAGCATATTGTTACACTGATTGGCATTTGACAAACCTGTCGCTCTTATACAATGTGTCGAGGTTACAGCCCAATGTGCGAGCATGTCAAAGCTCACAAAAAAATTACCCTCACAAAGCCATCTGCCTGCAATGCAAAGTTATATGAAGGGCATCAGGCAGTCAGACAGAAGCAGGCTGAAAGGCAGAGTGACAGCCTTGTATGATGGCTCTACTAGATAAACAGAAGCCCACAAATGAAAGCCTCTCAGAATACCATCATCCGCTGTCACAATGCAATTACCGAACAGAATGATAGCAAGATAGAGGCTCCCGCAAATGGAATGATAAAAGTATTGACTGATTTGATTGAATGATTAAAATAATGCAGACATAAAATGAAAAAAGATTGAAGATTGTTACAGAGAAATAGGTGAGGAAGCATGATACTGAAGGGTTGTCACTCCTGTCTTCACTTCTACACAGACAAGCGTATTTGCTCATTGTTTGCTGTGCTCCTTCTTTTTTTTCAGGTTGCTATTTCTGCAGATGTCAAAGAAGTTCTGTTAACTGATGGGAATGAAAAGGCCATCAGAAGTATCCTTATTCAGATAGAAAACGGGTTTGTTGTGCTCATTCCTTTTTCCCGGCTGAGTAACAATTGATATAAAGAAAGACAGCATGGGGTATTAAAAAAGAGGTCCCCGCACACACACATGATAAGTAATTAAGGAAAAGTACAAATATATGAATTCATCGCTTTTGACCACATGGGCGCTTTTTTATTTTTTTAACCTTTCGATAGATTTTTCTAGACACTTCTCATTACAGGAGACTGTGTTTTGCGACACTCTCAAAGCAACAAAATGATGTATAATAATTTTCAAGCATTCTTACATTATTTTCATTAAGACTTAGCAGTACAAAATAAGTGATTTAACATTTACTTTATTGGGTGTTGCTCGCAAATATTAACTTCTACCTTCAGGTTTGTTACTACCTTTTTTGTGCCTGATCTTGTATGTACCTAGGTCATATTGTGCCCATCCTAATTGCTGAGGAGTTAACTATATCCCCCACTGGAAACAGCTATCAGTTCTTCATTATTTCCTTTTATTTAGGATTATAAGAGCTATCTCTTTTTTCCTGCTATGCTATTACAGTTCAAACCTCATTATATTAGATTATGCTTTACTAATATGTACACAGAGTTCATGAAAATTGAACTGTATTTTAACTAAGAAAGCAAGCATAATTTGTGGCTACTTTAGCAGTCAAGCTGATTTGCTCAGGGGCGGTTAACAGCCGTTAGAAATTGAGAGGAAAAGTGGAAGATATGTTTGCTTTGTATTTTTTTTTTTGGTGTGCCTTACATTTATGTGATGAGGGAGGCCGTCCACTTACTTGAATTTTAGGACCCTAAAATGCCAAAGCAGCTTTGATGTTTGCAGAATCACACACACACCAAAAAAAAAAACAACCCTTTTTTTTGATTTTCATTTTTCTACCTCCACTGTATAATTTTTTGAAAATAAAATTCACTGCAGCTCAATCAGGCTGCTCACAGAGGAGGAAGGTGGTACAAGAAGCACAGTAGCTAATATTGTTCAGCAGCACTTGTGTGCTCTACAGAGCCCCACCCAGCTAATTGCCTGACAGACCTAAAAAAAAATTCAGGAAGGAGAAACAGCCAATCACAATCTTGGCCTTTCACACAAGGGAAAGAGATCACAAAAGGTGCTTCCTTTTTTAAAATACAGGATTTTAATCATGATCCTGAGACTGTCGCAAGTTTTTCAAAATATTCCTGAAGATGAGCTGATGTTGTTTCATTCACCCTGCCTTATTCAGAGTTATTCTCTGCATGTATCATTTCACTGTGCTCCTCCTCCTTATGTCAGGGAATACAGAGAACAAGAGGAAGCTCAGGTATGCCAGCTCAGCCCCAGCGAATGTCATTTGGCGGGGAAGAAAAACAGGAACAGTGAACAAGAGAAGGTTATTTTGGCTACAGAAACTTTCAAATTGGGCCCAGTAACCTGGGATTTTTCTCAAGTCAGTAGGTGTCTTATTTAATAGCATCAGAAACCAGTTAGAACTTTTATCAAAATATGGGAAGCATCTGTAGTCGGTATGTAAATTTAACTGTATTAAAATTATTACTGAGCTAAGCTATAGAGCTTCCAAAGAAGGGAAGGGAGGCTAATGTCATTAATTACCACACCTTTGCTTCACGCAGCAAAGATGTCATGCCAGCTCTTGAAATCAGAGAGGAAATCTCAGATTCTGCATTCACTCTGCTGGCCTTTCAAAGAAATGATTGGTACAGCCCCCTCCCAAGAAAATGGATTTTTAACATTTGGTCCTCAGAAGCTCAGCCCTGAGAGTGCTTTATTGTGCTGGGTTTTACAATGGGTTTAATATAGCAGGGTGCCAAAGGGCAGGAGGGGAAGAACTTTACAATGTAGATAAAGTAGGTCCTTTCAGGATGCAGAGCAAAACTGATTGTGTGTTTTATTTCATCTCTTAGGACTTTACTGATAGAGTTCAGTTTTTATCATTCGGTTGTTCTACGATTGTGTGCCTTTTTCTGTTGTAACCAGATCTAATTTTTTTAATTAAGAGAAAAAAGCATGAATCAAGCCTTAAAATTGGCAATGTGTTTTTCCTGCTTTTAATACTAATGTTGTTCTTGACTTGCTAACAGAGCTTACAATAGGCATCCGTTGTAATCTGTTTTGCTGAGTGAGGTTAATATGAGTGAATTTTCCCCCGTTTGTGTGCCCACTCTCTGTAAGAATAACCAATTCACTGAATCACATACTATCGATGCATATAGATCGAAACAAACTCATTTAAAAATTACTGTTTACATCTTTCTTTTAAAATTTTAGGAAGCCTAAATTATATAGCAGTTGTAGGATATTATCCAAAAATTACTTTCTAAAAAGTAAAAGTGGATGTCAACAAAAAAGGGGGAGAAACATTGCCAGAAGCCAGAAAATCTCTAAGCAAAGCTGCTAATTATTCTTAATGGGCAAGATGAGCACATTAAGAAACAAATGAATACATCAGTGAAATGTAATTGAAAATCGACCTGGCAATTGCACATCACATCTGAGTATTGGCCTGTATATTATTCTCATCATTTTAAAAATTATTTTTGTTGTTCTTGGCTTCTGAATTTAATGAATCCAACTGGGTCTTCCTTTCTAGTTTCTTAAGCTTTTATAGTTCTGATTTTTTAAACCTTTTTTAAAAAGAAAAATAACATTTTCTGGTTTTTCTTTTAATCTTCTGTTATTTTGTTTTTTTTAATATGTGAGGCGGTGAATGGATTTGTTCTGAATCTTTATATCACAAAAGCTTGTTAACCAGTTGTGAGTTTACTTATTATCTTCCTAAAATGCGTCGCATGGATTGGCTATGTCTTCCAGAACTCTCTACCTTGACCCTGAAAAGCTAGATGTTGATCTGAGATTTATTAAACAGAGATATGTGGAAAGAGATTAAGAGTTGAGGTAAAATGAATTTTCTAAGTCTTGAATATTTTCTCAGACTCATGGGTAGGATTCCTGGAGGCTCTGCTTGGTCCTTAAACCACATTGCTCAGTGTAACCCGGGGCCCCCTTGGTTGAGAACTATCTGTTCCTATAGATACCATTTTATCTCTATCCCAAGAGAACAAAGAATAAATTGGAAATTAAATCATTTGGTTCATCCAGTTCTCAAATTTATTCTAGAATAATATGTAATGTATTCCTTTTCCTTTGGCATTCTCCTGCTAATATAATAAAAAAAACTCTAAGTGCCTATATATAATAATTACTCAGCAAGGCTTGCAGCTGGTGATGACAGTGACATAAGAATAAGGAAGAGAGGGGGCTGGGGATTTAGCTCAGCGGCAAAAGCGCCTGCCTGGCAAGCGCAAGGTCGTGAGTTCGGTTCCCGGTACCGGAGAAAAACCAAAAAAAAAGAATAAGGAAGAGAAATGGTATACTGATTGTTACTGGTGCTAGATCTTTTCCAACTCATAATGAGTAACAGTAGGATACCTAAAGGTGAGCAACCCTCTGTGGCTCCAATCACTAACTCACCCAGTACACGCACCCTGCTTTAATCCACCCTTGGTAAAAGTCTAGTGGGGAGCTAAGGATTTAGCTCAGCAGCACAGCACCTGCCTGGCAAGTGCAAGGTCGTGAGTTCGATTCCCGGTACGGGGGGGGGAGAATAAATAAATAAATAAATAAATAAATAAAAGTCTAGTGTGTTATCTGAAGAATATTCCAATGCTTACTCACCCATTTCTCAGTATTCTTGACTCAAGCATCTTATCGCCACAGTGCACTGTCTACATCATGATCTGGAGCTTAGGATTCTGCCCCAAAAGGCAAATCTCCTGTACTTCTAAAAGGAGATACGCCTGGCTTAGCATTGTTTTATCAGCAGAATCCCTGATTTGTAAACTTGCTAACTGAAGCTTCCTGTGGATGGTTGAGAACTTGGAATCCCAAGCCATTATCCGGGGTCCAAGCCCTTCTTCCAACAGTGATGCCAGCTGTACCTCTGTCTGCTCGATGAGTCTTCAGCCTATATGCATCACTTCAGGTAGGAGCTCAACAAATATCTTTTAAAATTAAATTTAAATTAATTCAGTGCATATTAACTACATACCATTTCAGGTGCTAAAGACATAGAAGTAGACAAGAAAGATGTACTGCCTGTCTTTGTGAGGTATAGATTTTGCTAGGGCTAGAGTACATTTACACATGAGAAAGACACTGGAAAAACTACAGGGCAGAAGTTCTTTGATGCTCTCTCCATTCATTTCACATTTGCAATATAAACGTTCACATACTTAGTTCCGAGCAGCAGAGACAGAAAATAAAGCTCAACTGGCAAACCTTGTTTTAGTTATTATCACTAGACTCTGTTTCGCAAAAACTTTTGCCTAATTTATCCAAATAAGATAATGAATTGATATGAATTAGGCCCCTACTGTGTGCTGGACCTATCATAGGGGGCATCCCATTAAGTCTATCATTATTACAGTTTGAGAGACGGAGCTCAAAGAGGTTGATTTATTCAAAGCCACACAGCTAGAAGCCAGGTTCATTTGCCTCAGGGCACATTTTTTCCCATCAAACTACCCTGTCTCACCAAAAATGAGAATGGCTGGGTGAGTGTCATCTTGCATTTCCTCAGCACTCTCCACGAGAAAAGTCCTTTCATGCATAAACGTAACAGTTGGCATTGCTAACAGAGAGTTCATAGACCTCTGTGTCATTCTCTCAATTCATTGGAATAATAAGCACAGTTAAGAAGAGTTTGCAACCTTAAGTCAGCAAATACTGCCACGATAAGCATTTAAAAATGCGTTAGAGATAAAAATTAATAGGATTTATATCATAGTATCCTACCCTCACTTTTAATGCCCCAATTAGATACTAAGAAAGTAATGCATTGTCTGCTTGTTTTTGAAGTATTTTCTCACTTAAAGTGAACAATGCCAACTGTCGGAATGTGTGTACAACTACTCATGAATAAAGCAGTCACTAATTACAGGAGGAGGTTAACATTTTAAATGATATTTTATATACATATAGCATATATATTGTGTTTACATGACTATTATGGCTAATATGTACAATTATATTTTTAAGAATAAAAATCAAGGGAAATAAAATTAAAATGGAGCCCTACCACTGAACTGTGCTTTGTCTGAGAGGAAAATCTAGAGATAGGATTCTGGTTTCCTTTTAGCCACAAGCGTGTTTCCTGCAGCTCAGGAAGTCCAGTTGCCAGGACAAGGGGATTGTTGATGATTTCTCTGTGTCCACTTGATCAGAAATCACATTAAGGCTTTCTCTGCACCCAGTCCCTCCCACGTAAGGTACGTGCAATTCAGAGTGTGATCTGTGTTGAACACTATTCTGGACATATTGACTGGATTTGATTGGATTTCCTTCATTACCCTGAGGTGACTAGGAAAAATGATAAAAATCTATTATTGGACACAATGCCATCCAGGCAGACCATCAAAATCTGACCTAAAGGAAAGGGCGGGGAGCAGAATATCCGAATCTATTTAAGGTAATATTTAAAATATGATTGCCATTTTTCTTTTTGTGCTTGTTTTAATATTAAAGACACCTTCTAAGCCACAAAATATATTCCCTGCCCAGTTCTAAAAATAAAGCAGCCTAAATACTGCTGTGAATTTTTTCATTAAAAAAAAAAATTGCTTCCAGAATATAAATACATACGCTTGCTTCAGCCTGACCACCTGGAGTCACAGGTTTATAAATTGTATGAAAGTATATAGTGTTAAAATGTTTACTAAAAATTATTAATAGGTTTTTTGAGTTATATAATTTAACTTCCCTGTGACTATTTTATAAAAAGTATTACCTCCACTAACAAAATAATATGTTTTGCTTGATAGATTAGTCATGTACTCATATGACGCCACAGGTGTACCAGGCTCATTATGGCCTGCAGTTGGATGCCGTGGAAACGCTGAGTAGGGTGTGGACGGAGTGTGGGGGGGAACTTAATCAAAAACAGTTGTCAGTTGACTCTTTCCTAATTTTGTGCTTCTCAGAATAAAGATGTCAGCTGTCCTTTTCCGCCAGGCATTTCATTTAGAAGACTTTCCTGAAATACTTTCTTCCTGAAATAGACAGAACTGTAGGCCGATGTGTCATTTTAGTTAATCAAAACAAGTAGGCAAATTAGTCTCCTTTATTTTTTAATGAATGTAATTTAACGGTATTTAATTTGCATACAGGAAAGTTCACCCAGGAAAAAAAAAAGTCTGCATTATAGCACTTTTGTAAACCTCAACAAAGCCCTTCATTAGGAGACCTAATTGATTTTTCCTACCCACTCCTGGGGGAAGAAAGCTATCACAGTACCTGCTTATTCACTCAGAGAAGAAATGGGTGTGCCTGGTGGTTCAAGCAGAGATTTGGGTTTAAAAGTCCTGTGGCTCTGTTCTTACAGGGAGATCCCGGCCAGGGCTTGCTTTGAGTATTCAGGAAATCTGTTTTTCTGAGCAATAGGGGGACCTCGCCTGTCTGCTTGGTGTCCTCCCCATGGGCCCAATTTAGTTCAGCTTGCAGCCTTCACTGGAATTATTTTATTTCTTGTTTATTTAAACCTGCCTTGTTCCAAATGGGGAATTTTGAGGCTTCTTGCAGTAGTAACACGTGGAACGTACTGTGCACGATAAATGAGAAAGAGCCATGGAAATTAGAAGGCCGGGCAGATATGATGAGGCCGGGAACAGGGGTCAGTACACAAATGTACGCCACAGGAACTCTTCTGTGCCAGAGTTAAGACATACAGTAGGTCCTGATGTGCAGTGGGGCCTTAGCAAAGACAGCAACAGTTATGAAATTTACAGCGCCCCGAAGCTGAAGCAGTCAGCTGATCAGTGGGCCAGTTTTTCCTGGCGTTGAAACCTGGTGTTTTCCCATGGGCCCTGGCACAGGTGGCCCTTTGTGATGTAACTGACCAGCTCCTCAACATATCCCTTCGGGGAACATGGATCTTTGACCATGGCTCAGTAAACAAGTCCTTCCATGCCAGGAGGTGGCCACAGGCCAGACCATACCTGTGCCACGACAGTTCTTCAGAGGGCTTTTCACTAGACCTTCTTCAGTAATTCATTTTCTCCCTGAGATGCTCTAAGCTTTTCTTGACCTGTTTTTCCTTACTTCCCTCCACTCCTGTCCCTGCTGCTCATTGCCACCTTCCCTGCTAGAATTTATGAGACTGCAAATATTTCACCTGGGACCTCTCAGTAGGCTGGCACTGCCCTCCCCTCTCGCCTGCAGGCACTGCCACGGAACTCCTGGTCTTTCTAGCAAGTGGGGCATGGCGCCTGTGCAGCAGTCGTTCCCCACTGGCACCCCCACTCCAGGCCTTGCCAGGGTGCTACCAGATGCATATTTCAAGGGTGACAACGTGGCAGCTTGTGCTTGTGGCAAGTCAGCATTTGGTGGGTGAGGCACGCTTGCAGCCATCCGCCTCATGCTCTGTGGCTCCTCTCAGTTTGCTGTGTTGATCCCATTATGATAAGATGATCGCTGTGCTGTGGGCTTCTGCTTCTGAGTCAGTTGACAGTCACTGTCAAGGTTTTCTTAACTGTGTCCTGTAGATGTGAGAGACATCATCGCAAGGAATCAGAAGGCTGGTGTGTTTAAGACTCAGAAAATATCAAGCTGGTAAGATACCTTTCTACATTAAAACACTAGATGGAACTGGATATGCTGTTTTATTTTTACAGTATTGATTATTAAAAATAAGTATAGCTAACACTAAGCACTTTGTGTCAGGCACTGTTGTAAATCTAAGCACTTTACAAATGTTATCTCATTTAACGCTCGTGAGAACTGGAGGCAGACAGATGCCCTCACTATTTCCAGGCAACAGCCGAGAAAGTAAAGGGGAGTGTGTTGAACACTGACTTGGGGCTGATTTAAGATTTGAGGTTACACAGCATGAGGCTGAGAGAAGCTCAGCCTGGGACCTTCTGAAATTGCTGTACCCCAGTGGTTGTCAGCCTGGGGGCAGTTTGTCCACCAGGGGATTTTGATGTTCTCTGGAGACATGTCTTACTGTCGCGACCTGAGGGAAGAAAGGAGAGTGTTGCTCCTGGCATCTAGCGGGTAGAGGCCAAAATTAACACCCAGTCATTCAGTGCGTAGGACCCACAACAAAGCAGTATCAGTACTTCAAACTGTCAGGAGGGCTGGCGTTGTGAAACCCGCTCTAGTCTATGACTTTGAAACAATCAATGTGTCCATTCCCTTTTAGATTCTCATAATTTTTATTCAGACTAGGAGAAATTCTTGCCCTCAACCAAAACAGTGGTGTGTTCCCTGATGCTACATTTTACTTTTGCCTTTTAGCATGGACCTAGAAGAAATGAGTCATCATGTAGTAGTTTTCACATGAAACGCCCGTGTTTCTGCATTTTTCTTGAGTTCATGTAATTCTAGACTTTATACGAAGAGCAATTTTATTTTAATTATCTTATTTATTACTATTAACCTGTCATCTTTTGGTATTTTACATCTTCCCTTTTGCTGAGGACACTTTCCTGCCCCAGTTGCCCACTCTGAAAGCTGATGAACAGCTCCCATACTTAAAAACCAAGTAGTGGATATACTGGTATGAGGTTGTGGAATAAAAATAATTTTTTTCTGTTATATTCAGTGAATTCAGTGAAGTGTGCTTATACCTATATAGCTTTAAATCCTGTGCTAGGATCTTCCATATTGACCGATGGCCCAGGGGGGCCATGTGCTCTGGTTTTCTTGTATAAATGGACAGACCAGTTTCCTACAAAATCTCGAGCAGGTCCAGAGAAAGAGAAAGAGCCTCCTATTCCTGTGCCTTCCTCTTTCTCTCTGCGGTACAGATGGCCATCCATTCTGGAGAGTACTTCATTTTTGGACCTGATTTTCAACCTAGTCTTTTAGTTATCAATCAAAAGTGCATTTTCTGTGTTGTCCTCATTTACATTTATTTAGTGCTTAAGGTCATTTGTGACCATTTGAGTGTGTTTCAGCATATGGAATCAGGGAATAATAGATTTCAGTTTCATGCTGTGAAAAGAGATTGTGTTTTTACAAGACAAAATGTTGTTTACAGGGTGTTAATAATCACTAATTAATAAACACATCTAGACTTCTAAAATGTTGCATTTTAAGGAATAAAAATGTCAAGTGTTAACATATGGTGTATGATAATGTTTTCTATCGTGTCTTCATCACATAATTGTTATATAAAGCAGCAAAATGTTCAACACAGGACAGATCCCAAATGCTTTATACATGGGTCTTTTGTTTTTCTGTTCTTTAAAAAATGCAGTTTCTAAATATGTGGCTCTGATATGTACTCAGACATACAGTCTATATTTCAGTACTCATACAGGAACCTCAAAGATGAGAAGGGTTTTTTTTTCCCCTTCAGGGCCCTCACCTTTCCATATTTATCTCATTCTATTTGTGGTCAGTTTCTTCTCCTTAAGCCACTGCACATATTTTGTCCAAAGTCTACTAAAGCACTTGCCAGAAAACAGGTGGATGAGTCAGACCTTGAAATGCCTCGATCTTGTATTAAGGAGCTACTTGACCACTTAACCTTCAAGTAGCTAAAGGAAGCTGCCAACCGGTGATGTAATAATCAGCATTCCCCTTCCACCCGCTGCTTTCCCACCCAGAACCAGTACAATGTGATGAAAGTATTAGTTCCATGAGAGAAGAAATAAAAGGAAGCCATTCACAAAGGAGCTAAGATATAGTTCAATATTCTTTTTTAGTGCCTCAATGCATATGCAGAATGTCTTCTCCAAATTGGAGGTGTGAAATAACAGTAGCGACAGATAACTAAGAGGTATTTACCATAGCTACAAAGCCTACACGTGAGCCAAATATTTCTGCTATTAAAAAGCACTTCAAAGCTTGACAGGAAGTTTGTAACAGCTGAATGTCTCTTGTGACTTCATTTGCAAAGGAGATGTAAAAGCTGAAAGGAAAGTCGTGATAGGAGAACTTGAGCCTAAGAAATAGCATTTTAGAAAGGAACAAGAAGCTGCCCAGAAATTTGACTGGCAACCTCAAACTTCTGTCCCTGTGCTCCAACAGGGTTCTTAGTAACTGCTATAGTTTGGATAAGTGTCCCCCAAAGGCCCACATGCTGAAGGCCTGGTCCCCAGCCTTTGCTGGTACTGGGTGGCAGTAGAGCCTTTAGAAGGTAGGGCCTCCCCGACAGAAGCCAGGTCATTTAGAGTGTGCCGGAAGCGGGGTGTTGGCACCCCGGCCCCTTCCTGTCTTTGTCTTTGCTTCCTGGCCACAATGAGGCGAACAGCTTCCTTTGCCAAGCACTCCCACCAAAATACACTGCCTCGCCACAGTCTCAAGAGCAAGGAGCCACGGACTGAGGATCTGTTTTCTCCTGCCACTGACTTACCACTACTCCTCACAGGGGCAGACCCAGGTTGTGTGGGGCCTGAAACTTATTTTGAGGCTCTTCTGAATAGGATGAACTCAGTTATGTTCTTTACTTTGGTGAATTTTACAGGAACATGTGACCAAATGAACACATTCTCAGGGCCCCTTCCAAGGGGTCTTTCCGAGGGAGGGCTCTGACGTTAAGCCCCAGGAGGCTTGCAGTAAGTCTGCCCTGCTCTCATAAACACCACCATCCTTGCCCAGGGTAACTCCTTTCCCTTCCATACTCAAGTTTCCTCCTCACGCCAGTCTATCTTAATCCCAGTCTGATGTTGCTAAGTATGAAAGACATGCTTGTGGAAGCCCAGAGCCTCAGCTCTGGCTGGGTCCAGGTCCACATATACAAAGCATTCTATGCATTACAGTGCAGAGATATTATTACCATTATTTGATGGCTCATTCATTCATCCATCATGGAGCCATCCATTCATTTAACAAGTATGGCCAAGGCTCTTGCCTTTGGGAACCTGAATATGGAGTTATTGAGAGTAGTTATTGAACAAAGGAAAGTGTACTACTAACTAAAGCTAAAAATTAATGAAAGAGCCAGGATATTTACAGCACCTCAATTGTTAGGTGTATCTGAAGCTGTCTTCAAAATTGTGACAATCTAACAAAGGACCATTTGGAGTGTTTGATGTATACATACTTCTAGGTCTTCCAGAATTAGTGAATAGCATCATTTGCAGGTTAATATTAGTTAAAAGTTACAATATTTTAAAAATTCTATTAAATTTACCCTTCTGTGATGTTAAAAAGGAGTTTCAGTTAAGAAAAGAGTCTATATTTGCGTGAAAGTTGCTAGTAAATTTAAATTGCAACTTTTATAATTCATTGATAAACCATACATTTTTAGTAAACTATGGAACTTATTTTATGACTTTCTAAAACCCAGATTTTACATTTATGTGGCTCTAGATTTAGCTTTTGGTCCCATTGCCCTGTTGCTGTTTAAGAGTCAGGTCTCTTGTCATCATATTACTGTAGAGATTAAGTTGGGAAAGTGAAAGTGGCTTTTAAAATGTATGTCCTGGAGCTTGGGATTTAGCTCAGCGGCACAGCGCCTGCCTGGCAAGTGCAAGGTCGTGAATTCGATTCCTGGTACAAGAAAACAAAACAAAACAAAAAATGTATGTCCTGCCAGGCATGGTGGCGCACACCTGTAATCCCAGCACTCAGGAGGCAGGAGGATGGAGAGTTCAAGGCCAGCCTTGGGTACATAGTCAGTCTAGGCCAGTTTGAACTGCATAGTGAGATCCTGTCTCAAAAAAACCCCAAAATCTTAAAATGTATGTCTCAGCCAAGTGGGATCCCACTGCTGCTCTTTTCAGGCCTTCTGCAGTCTGCCCTCACCCTCTTCATCCTATTTATCCACTCATTGCATGTCCCACCTTCTCCTTCAGCCTGTCAGCTTTCCATCACTATCACACAATACCTGAGGTATTTAACCTTTGAGATTCCATTCAAAGATTGGATGCATCATTGCCTGAGCCTCTGGCAGATTTCTGGTGAAGACTGTGCAACAGAGCAAACTCCCACCTCATGGCCAGGAAGCAAAAGAGAAAAAGGAAAGGGTCAGGACCCCACAAGCCCCTTCAGGGGTAGGTTCCCACAGACCTGTACCCCTTCCACCAGGCCTGTTATGGTTTGTGTCTGGACGTCCCCCCAAAGCCTCATGCAGTCATGGGGGAAGGCTTTTCAGAGGTGGCTGAATCTAGAGTTTGTGACTGATTCATGGTCCCGTGCTGGGATTAAGGATGTGAGTGCTACATCTGCCCTAGAGCAGGTAGCCTAGGTACAATATAAGGGACAAAAGAGGCTTGTCCCATCTCTCTCTCCCTTCTACCTTCTGCCTGCTGTGAATGTTTCTCTTCTGCAAGGCCTGTCTGTCATGCCACCCTGCCTTGGAGCCAGCCAGTTATGGACTGAAACCTCTACAAACTGTGAGCCAAGGAAACCTTTTCCCGTTTAACTTTGGGTCTCAGGTATTTTGTCCCAGCAACAAGCAAAGTAACTAAGACAAGGCCCCTCCTCCTAAAGGTTGCACCGCCTCCCAGTGTGCCACCCCAGGGGGGAAGTCTTTATCACTTGGAGCTTGGGAGATGCACATCGGAACCCTAACCCTCCGCACGCCCCTCCCAACACATTTGGTCTTTCCATCTCTGGCCTTCGCCAGTCTTGTTACCCTCCTCTTCATCCATCTAAAT